TTTCTTTAAGTGCAGGAACAATAATATAAAGCCAGGAAAGTAAAATAGTAGAAGTACATAAAAATACAATCAAAAGAGAATTGGCACAGTAAAGTAACCAAAAACCTTTAATTAATCTAAAATACTAATTTAAAATAACCATAACGATATGGTTATTTTAAAAATACACAATTTAAAATAACCATAGTTATATGGTTATTTTAAATTGTGTATTTTAGATCAATTAAAGGTTTTTGCTTACTTTACTGTGCCAATACCGTCGAGCTTCACCGCCTTGGCCTGCTTTTGCAGCAGCAGTTGGGCTATTAGCCTTCGGACGTAGTGAGACACATCAGAAAGGCCTATGGGTCCGGGATACCTCGGATCTTTAGGTTGTAGAAGAAGTAGTCCTTGAAGAAGGCCATGTCGGCCACAATTTTGGCTCTTTGTTCCGCAAACAGGGTCTTGAGCTGGTTGGCAGTGACTGGCTCATTGGTAGTGGGTTGTTTGGGCTTAGGGCCTGGCCGTGATGCACTCAAGGCCTCCGATCCTATGTCGAAGAGGTTATCTTCTGAGGAGTAGGTAGAGCCCTCGTCTCCCATCGCCATTTTGTCCCATGCTGCCACCTGCGATCTCCGCAGCAGTTCCTCGATATCTAAGGATGTAGTGCCTTTGTCGGCTTTTGTTTTTTTAGTGTTTGCATCCCATGGCTTCCACTTGGTGACAGGGTAATGAGGGTAAGTTGGGGGTAGATTATCCACTCCAAAATAACCAATTTCATGAGTTTATGGTCCAGAGCTCTCAAAGGTGCGATTTCTCTGTTCCTCAGTTCTTCAATTTCATGTGTTGAAAGCTGGAAAAATGGGCAAGTGAAAATATATGAGTGACTATGACAAGGGACAAATAGCGATAGCTAGACAACTGGGTCAGAGCATGTCTAAAGTGGCAAGGCTTGTGGGGTGTTCCTGGTATGCAGTGGCTAGTACCTACCAAAAGTGGTGCAAGGGAGGACAACCTGTGAACCGGCGTCAGGGTCATGGGTGCTCAAGTCTCATTGATGCACGTGGGGGGTGAACGTTAACCCATCTGGTCCGGCCACACAGAAGAGCTACTGTAGCTCAAGTTGCTGAAGACCTAGTGCTGAGAGTCCTAACCTCAACATCTGAGGAAAAGGATTTAGGGGTGATTATTTCTGATGACTTAAAGGTAGGCAGACAAAGTAATAGAGCAGCAGGAAATGCTAGCAGAATGCTTGGTTGTATAGGGAGAGGTATTAGCAGTAGAAAGATGGAGGTGCTCATGCCGCTGTGCAGAACACTGGTGAGCCCTTACTTGGAGTATTGTACGCGATACTGGAGATCGTATCTCCAAAAGGATATTGATACTTGGTTCATGGATTGCAGGATAAAACTTACAAGGAAAGGTTAAAGGATCTTAACATGTGTAGCTTGGAGAAAATACAAGACAGGGGGGATATGATAGAAACATTTAAATACATAAAGGGAATCAACACATTAAAGGAGAAGAAACTACCACAAAAAAGAAGAAAAACCACCACAACAAGAGGACTTAGTCTTAAATTAGAGGGGAAAAGGTTTAAAAATAATATCCAGATGTATTACTTTACTGAAAGGATAGTGCATGCATGGAATAGGCTTCCAGCTGAAGTGGTAGAGGTTAACAAGGTAAAGGAGTTTAAGCATGCGTGGTATATGCATAAGGCTATCCGAACTATAAGATAAAGCCAGGGACTAATGAAAGTATTTTAAAAAATTGGGCAGACTAGATGTGTTCTTATCTGCCGTCACATTCTATGTTTCTATATTTCTGACAATGATGGAAAGGTGTCAGAACACACAGTGCTTCGCAGTTTGCTGGGTACATGGCTGCATAGTCGCACACCGGTCAGAATGACCATGATGACCCCTTTTTAGGCAGCACAAGGGGTACCTACATGATATTAGGAAGGTGGCTCTAATGTTGTGACTGATTAGCTTACTCAAAAAATTAATTATGAATTTGACCTTTGATGTGATCATTAAAAAAGAAACATGTATAGATATCTGGAAATAGAACTTTATAAACTGAAACATGGGAATAGCTTAATTTTCAATAATGCATCAAACTAGATTAAGAGAACTGTACTAGAGGCCAAAAAATGAACCAAATGTGTTGTTATCCATTATCCCTGTGTGTACTTATGAGGAGTAAGCTCTTTTTGATTGCACTATAGCCAGGCCTGTGGGAAACAGTAAAAACTTCCTTCATCACGCAGTGATTATTTAATTGAATTGACTGGCTGGCCACATGTTAATGTTCATACCATGGGCAATTATGTCCCTTTATTTCCAATAAATCAATAAACTGAGAACTGAATATTAGTCAATGTGCAGTTATTCTGGAAGTCATATTGGCACAAAGTCTTATGAATTGATTCGATTCATTTGAAAAACTATGGCTAATTGAAGTACAATGACACTATTCCAAAAGCTCACACCTGAGTCATTAAAAAAGTGGAACGCAGTCACCTAAACAGTGACTAGGGCTATATAGCATTAGAAATAAACATTTGTATTCATTACACTATAATGCTCGTTAAATAAGATCACGTAGTATTGGTAATGTATCCCTTAGAAATTGTAGAAGGATTAACAGGTGTTCTATATTTCTGTTTGTATAATTGAGAACTGTCCCATTGCTGTTGCATAGACAGGTCACTTTCTCCTGGCCTAGCTGGGAGGATTGAAAGTTCTGTCAATAACTTGTCAGCTGGCTAAACTAGTTATTTTTATTCTTTATTACATATTAATAGAGACAATAACTTTCTCTAATTATAGGCTGATATGGTTTCACGGAGACAGGAGATAACTTCATCCAGAGATAGGAGACATCTCTAGCAGCCATCTGAGAAATGACAGGTGGAGGTATCCCTGTAATTTAAACACTGCATTTTCTCTGAAAAAACAGTATTTACTGCAAAAGACCTTAAAGGAATGATTATACTCACAAAAGCAAATGCAAACATGTCGTTGTTGTAGTGACTATAGTGTCTCTTTAATGAATCTTCCACTAAGAAGATTGCACTCTTGGGCACACCCAAGCTTCACTCCTTAATTCATGCAAGCTCTTCTTTTGTCTCTCATTGCCACTATCTCTTTTGATCTTTCCCAGACTCTGATGATCAAAAATATAAGAACAGAGACACATTCTTACACATACACGTAGCTTCCTACTAACAGACACAATTAGACAATCATCGATACACAAACATAAACATTCATGGACTCATATACACACACACACAAACACATGCACTTACATATATACATATAGTTCCAGGGCCAGCTAAATTTATTTTCCATCCCATAATCAACCACATTCTCTATCACACTTACATGCCCACATGTCCATAACTAGCCACTTAAACTCAACTATTAGCCATACACGAATAACCTAACATGTCACACAGACATGCATATGCCAGTCATATTGTTTTGGAAATACATACACCAATAATTGAAGACTATATGGCTATACAGAAATTGTCAAATAATTCCAGACATACATATACACAAACAAATAATCAAACACGCAAAAGTGCCTTAATTTTCACTGCCCCTTCCACTCATCCCATCCTATTTCATTGTCCCACCCCTGATTTTATTACCACTTCCACCAATTTACTTACCTGCTCATTGTATCACCCCTTTCTCCTATTTCATTACCCTGCATTTCATTAGGGGTACACCACTAGTCTTGGTGGTGTAGTGGTCAGGTGGGTCCTGCGTTGGAGCAGGATTGCTTTCTTCTTTCAACACAGCTATTGTCACTATTCTCTTGCACCCTGAAGCTCTGTTTGATAAAGGAGGTGAGAAAATGGTGTGCTAGTCTCCATGAACTGTGGTTTCACGTAGTCTGCACAAGGAAGGAAAATTGAGGTCAGAATGATAAGAGGCAGGGGCACATGTTTACATATCAGGGCATGATGTACATGTTATAGGTAATTTTCATTGTTTTATACAATCAATTTCCAAAGAAGAGATATTTTCTTTTTAAAGAGGAGCAACGGTGCTGCTGTGTCATTAAAGGACCACTATAGTGCCAGGAAAACATACTCGTTTTCCTGGCACTATAGTGCCCTGAGGGTGCCCCCTCCCTCAGGGACCCCCTCCTGCCCAGCTCTGGAAAGGGGAAAAGGGGTTAAACTTACCTTTTTCCAGCGCTGGGCGGGGAGCTCTCCTCCTCCGATCCTCCTCCGTTCCTCCTCCTGGGCTGAATGCGCACGCGAGGCAAGAGCTGCGCGCGCATTCAGCCGGTCACATAGGAAAGCAGTCATAATGCTTTCCTATGGACGCTTGCGTGCTCTCACTGTGAAAATCACAGTGAGAAGCACGCAAGCGCCTCTAGTGGCTGTCAATGAGACAGCCACTAGAGGAGTAGGGGGAAGGCTTAACCCATTCATAAACATAGCAGTTTCTCTGAAACTGCTATGTTTATGAAAAAATGGGTTAACCCTAGCTGGACCTGGCACCCAGACCACTTCATTAAGCTGAAGTCAGGGGCGGACTGAGAGCCTTTGGGGCCCCCGGGCAAAATTAGATCCCAGGCCCTTTGAAGGCCAAATATATGTGCATTAAATAAATGTTAAATATAACTCATAATACAGCATTCCTTTGGATGTGTATATTGTGAAGACCTGTGTATCAATGCATGTTTGTATTTGAGTCTGTGTGAATGCACTTGTGCATGTCGGGATGACTACATGTGCTTTTTTGTATATAGTGTCTGTGTGAATGCATATGTGACAGGTGACAGAGTGTGTGAGGGAGAAGGTGACAGGTGGAAGAGTGTGGGAGGTTGTGACAGGTGGCAGAGTGAGGGGTTACCTGGTGGCAGAGTGAGGGAGGGGTTGAGTGGTGGCAGAGTGAGGGGGAGACACAGTGAGTGGGGGTGACTAGTGACATAGGGAGGGAGAGGGGGTGACTAGTGACAGAGTTAGGGAATGGGTGACTAGTGGCAGAGTGAGGGAGGGAAAAGATGACTAGTGGCAGAGTGAGGGAGGGAAGGGGTGACTGGTGACACAGTGAGGGGATGACTGGTGACAGAGTGAGGGAGTGACTAGTAACAGAGGGAGGGATTGACTAGTGACAGAGGGAGGGAGGGGGTGACTGTCACTAGTCACTCCCTCCCTAACTCTGTCACTGTGTCACCCGCTCCCTCACTCTGTCACTAGTCACCCCCTCCCTCACTTTGTCACTAATCACCCCCTCTGTCCCTAGTCACCCTCTTCCACACTCTGTCACTAGTCACCCCATCCCTCTCTCTGTCACTAGTCACTCCCTAACTCTGTCACTGTGAAGGAAGGAAGGGGTGACTGGTGATAGAGTGAGGGGATGACTGGTGACAGAGTGAGGGAAGGGATGACTAGTGGCAGAGTGAGGGAAGGAAGGGATGACTGGTGACAGAGTGAGGGAATGACTGGTGACAGAGTGAGAGAGGGGTGACTAGTGACCGAGTGAGGGAGGGAGTGGGTGACTAGTGACAGAGTGAGGAAGGGGGTGACACAGTGATAGTCACCCCATTCCTCCCTCTGTCACTAATCACCACCTCCCTCACTCTCACTAGTCACCCCATCCCTCCCTCAGTCACTAGTCACACCCTCCCTCTCTCTGTCACTAGTCACACCCTTACTCGCTGTCACTAGTCACACCCTCCCTCTCTCTGTCACTAGTCACACCTCTACTCACTGTCACAGCTCATGTTCCCTTTCTCCTCCTCTGTCACTCAGAGTGAGGGGCACTAGTGACAGAGTGAGGGGGTGACAGGTGACAGAGTGAGGGAAGGGGTGACTAGTGGCAGAGTGAGGGAAGGGAGGGGTGACTAGTGACAGAGTAAGGGGATGACTGGTGACAGAGTGAGGGAGGGGGTGACACAGTGACGGAGGGAGGTGGTGACTAGTGACAGAGTGAGGGAGGTGGTGACTAGTGACAGAGTGAGGGAGGTGGTGACTGTCACTAGAGAGTGCGGGAGTGGGTGACTAGTGACAGAGGGAAGGACTAGTGACAGAGTGAGGGAGACTAGTGACAGAGTGAGGGAGGTGGTGACTGTCACTAGTCACCACCTCCCTCACTCTGTCCCTAGTCACCCCTCCCTCTGTCACTAGTCACCCCTTCCCTGCCTAACTGTCACTAGTCACACCCTCCCTCACTCTGTCACTAGAGTGATGGGGTGACTAGTGGCAGAGTGAGGGAAGGAAGGCGTGACTAGTGACAGAGTGAGGGGATGACTGGTGACAGAGTGAGGGAGGTGGTGACTAGTGACAGAGTGAGGGAGGTGGTGACTGTCACTAGTCACCACCTCCCTCACTCTGTCCCTAGTCACCCCTCCCTCTGTCACTAGTTACCCCCTCCCTCACTCTGTCACTAGAGTGAGGGAAGGGGTTACTAGTGGCAGAGTGAGGGAAGGAAGGGGTGACTAGTGACAGAGTGAGGGAGGGGGTGACTAGTGACAGAGTGAGGGAGGGGGTGACTGTCACTAGTCACACCCTCCCTCTCTCTGTCACTAGTCACACCCTCCCTCACTCTGTCATTTGAGTGAGGGGGTGACTAGTGGCAGAGTGAGGGAAGGGGTGACTAGTGGCAGAGTGAGGGAAGGAAGGGGTGACTAGTGACAGAGTAAGGGGATGACAGGTGACAGAGTGAGGGAGGTGGTGACTGTCACAAGTCACTAGTCACCACCTCCCTCACTCTGTCCCTAGTCACCCCTCCCTCTGTCACTGGTCACCCCCTTCCTCACTCTGTCACTAGAGTGAGGGGGTGACCAGTGACAGAGTGAGGGAAGGGGTGACTAGTGGCAGAGTGAGGGAGGTGGTGACTGTCCCTAGTCACCACCTCCCTCACTCTGTCACTAGTCACCACCTCCTTCTGTCACTAGCCACCCCCTCCGTCCCTTACCCTGTCACTAGTCACCACCTAACTCACTCTGTCACTAGTCGTTCCCCTCTCTCACTCTGTCACCAGTCATCCACTCACTCTATCACCAGTCACCCCTTCCTTCCCTCACTCTGTCATCAGTCATCCCCTCACTCTAGTGACAGAGTGAGGGAGGGTGTGACTAGTGACAGAGTGAGGGAGGGTGTGACTAGTGAGGGAGGGGGTGACTAGTGACAGAATGAGGGAGGGGGTGACTAGTGACAGAGGGAGATGGTGATTAGTGACAGAGTGAGGGAGGTGGTGACTGTCATTAGTCAACCCATCCTTCCCTCTGTCACTAGTCACCCACTCCCGCACTCTCACTAGTCAACCCCTCCCTCTGTCACTGTGTCACCCCATCCCTCCCTCTGTCACTAGTTACCCTCTCCCTCACTCTGTCACTAGAGTAAGTGGGTGACTAGTGACAGAGTGAGGGAGGGGGTGACTAGTGACAGAGTAAGGGAGGGAAGGGGTGACAGAGTGAGTGAGGGAAGGGGTGACTAGTAACAGAGTGAGGGAGGGGTTACTAGTGACACAGTGGGGGGGTGACTAGTGACAGTAGGGGGGTGACTAGTGACAGTGACGGGGTGACTAGTAACACAGTAGGTGGGTGACTAGTGACAGTGGGGGGGTTGACTAGTGACAGTGGGGGGGTTGACTAGTGACAGTGTATGTGGGTGACTAGTGACAGTGGGGGGGTGACTAG